TGACTGAGCCACCCATGTACCCCTAAATTGATTTGCTTTTAACCTACTCTTGTTTTTGTATTCTTGGTCACTATGCTGGACCAAATGGGCTTATACTTCTTCCTGCAAGTATACTCTGAAAAATTTTACTTTGTGTCTACTTTCCCTTAGGATCATAAATTTTGAGAAGAGGAAAGCGCTTTAGAGATTAATCTAGTTAAACCCAGGAAACTGAGGCTCAGAATTTAAAGTGACTTACCCAAGATCATAGGGAGTATTTGTATCAGAGCTGGGTTCAGTGTCTAGTATTCCCTGTTTGTGTTTTTTCTTTTTTTCATTGCTCAAGCTGCCCATGAAACTGAGCCTATCTGATTTTGCTTCCTCATACTGCATGATTTTCTAACCTTTTGAGAACATTTCAGTTCTTTTTTTTTTTTTTTAACGTTTATTTTTTTGAGAGACAGAGAAAGACAGAGCTCAAGCGGGGGAGGGGGAGAGAGGGAGACAAAGAATCTGAAGCAGGCTCCAGGTTCCCAGCTGGAGTCAGCTGATGCAGGGCTCCAACTCACAAACCATGAGATCATGACCTGAGCCGAAGTTGGCTGCTTAACCAACTGAGCCACCCAGGTGCCCCCATTTCAGTTATTTTAGGGTAAACTTCATGTATTTTAACCTTTTTGTACCCTGCATAGCATCTTGCATTTGTAAATGCTCAGTAAATACTTATTGGGTGTATATTTTCTAGACTTCCAAACATTCTTGCTTATTGATTCTTTCTTCTTTCTTAGAGTAATACATCCTATTAATGTGTGAAGAAATCCAGAAATCTGGAAGATTGGCAAAATTAAAAAAAAATTTTTTAGTTTGTATAAATATTAGTTATTCATCAGGTATTCTTTTTATAAAATGTATTTATTTTGAGAGAGTGTGTGTGCACACGTGAGCGGGGGAGGCACAGAGAGAGGGGGAGAGAGGATCCCAAGCACGCTCCATGCTGTCAGCACAGAGCCCGACTTGGGGCTCAATCCCACAAACTGTGAGATCATGACCTGAGCCGAAATTAAGAGTCAGATGCTAACTGACTGAGCCATCCAGGTGCCCCTGCATCAGGCATTCTTGTCCTGTCTTCTAGGTGCTAATAGCCTTCCTTGTCTCCAGGTTCTCAGAAAAGGAGGAACAGAAGCCAAATGCTGCTTCAAGGTTTGACAAATTAGTGATTAGGAGATTGATTCCAAGCTTTCACTGAGTTTAGGAATAGAGGTAGAGGATTAGGTATAGAACTAAAGGAGGTAGTATTGAAGGGGAAAAAAAGAGCCTGGATATACTTTCATTTCAGAGCTATAAACATAAATCTTTTCCCCCATCTTTCTATTTTGAAACTTTTTACTAGATTTGTATTTCATCCCCACCCGCCACACGCCACATGTGTTTTTGTTGACCGTTTTTTTTCCACACCCAAAACCCAAACTAAGGCTTTCACCTTGCTCAGTTGCATGTTAAGGCTCCAGGTTTGAAATTCATACATGCTTGTGACATAAAATGTGTCCCCTTTTTTGACTACTAGTGAATGAAGCTAAGCAAATCCTCCTTCTTAAATTGAACTAATGAGTGCAGTTCAGAAATTGTCTGTCTCCCTCTGAGGCAGTAGGTACTTCCTAGTTTGCCAGATCTGGCATGGGATCCATCACCGCTATATGCCTTTATCTGATTTGAGTCACCTTCTGTTTGTGATTAGATTTGTCTGCTCCTCTCTCTCTCTCTCAAAATAGCTGTTCTGAAAGCAATTCAGTAACTCAGTCCTTTTAAGATTTTAGCCATGGTTCTCTTCCTTACTAATAGGCTTACTTTCTCTGCAGTGATTGCTCTCTTCTATAGGCATATAAAAGCTTTCCTCATCCCCCTTATCATTTGCTTCATTAATATGATTTCCTTCTCTTGAATGCCTCTTCCTCTCCCCGCTTAGAGCCATTAAATTATTGAGTGCATTCTGTAAAGTTTCTCTCATCCTATTTTAATTTCGTGCACCACATTTTTTTTCTCATCTGAAACTATATTGCTTCCTGCATTTGGATTTCAGAATTTTTTGTTTTTTAAAGGAGATTGTATTTTTAATTATATTTGGCCTAATTCCCCATTGTGGGTACGTGTACCATATGGGAAGTCCCTGGGATAACAGTCATGGTTTCTTCCTATCTTCTTAGCTTACTATTCTCCTTCCTTTCTCCCCTGAAGCTTCTCACCCTCTCTTCTCTAATGCTTTTGGAAACTACTAAGAAGTTTAAATGGCCAGTGTGAAAATATGTCAGTGTCCCCATTTTACCATATATATGTAACATTTATAATTTATACTCTGCCTACATCCCAGAGGGATGTGAGGTGGCTTATGATAAAAAAAAAAAAAAAAAAGAACCTCACATGTCCCACAGTACTGTTAAAAATAGTCAGAAAGGGAAATCAGAAGCCATTGAAAGGAATCTGTAACACAAAGTACGTATGAAACATAAGAAGAAAATTTCTATAAAAAGTGAAAGAAGAACATAACCTTTTAATTATGCAAGGGCCTTGCTATTTTGACTATAGTGGAAGAAGATTGTAATTGTGGTCTAAATGTTTCTGTGTAGTGACAGAGTTACAGTATTTCTCATTTTCCCCCTAGAAATTTTTGTTCTAAAAGAAGAGAACTGAAGGAGTGTTTGGTTAGTCCCCAATTACCGTTGTCAGCCTCTTTGGTCTGGCTTTGTCATTCAGATTTCCCACTACCAGCCACCATGTCTTGGTCACTAGCTGTGTGCCAGACCAGCAAGGGATTACATGTGCATGATCTCATTTACTCCTCATCACTGGGTTGTGAAATAGAGGATGGGGCTCTGTGTTAGGGATGAGGAGGAAATACTCTAAGTAGGTAATTGGATCAGAGTCGCATAGGTAGTACGTGGTAGAGTGAGGGTTTAAATCCAGATCTTTCTGGGTTCCCTTTCTGTCACTTGGTGATTCTTCTTGTCAAAGAACTGTGTTGGAAAATTAGCCGTTCAACCTCCTAATGTTTACCTCCACTTCCGGTTTTTGTTCAGTGTAGGATTTCCCAATGATAGGTTCAGGGATCTGCTTAATATGGAATGCTGATTTGAACATGTGTATGTGTGCAGGGGATTAAATTTTTTTATTTTCTTATGTTTTCATATTGGCTTGAAGTCCTGACATGGAACTAATTGTCTTGCATTTTTCTTGGAGGAGTCAGGAGAGAGGGAGTGGGCCACAAGGTGAGGGTGCATAGGTGAGTCCTGACCATCCTGTGCCTGACCCTAGTGCTAGCAGTTAGCTTTGAGGCAGAAGGGTACTAACATTTTTATTGAAACAGGACACTTACATGCATTATTTCGTGTCATTCTCACAGCAGCCTTTGTGGTAAGTGGTTTTAGCCTCAATTTATAGACGGGAAAACTGAAGCACAGAGCATTAAGCAAGTTTGTTCAATGTCACACAAGTAGAAAATGGAGTTCTCAGTGAAGCTTAATCTGCCCCTGGAGCCCATGGTCTTTTCCTTTACATGTTCTCATTTCTAACAATACTAGCTAATATTTATTGAGCTCTTACTATGTGCCAAGCAGGATTCTTAGCACTTTACAGGATTATTTAATCCTTACAGCAGTCTTATGAGCTACACAGTCATTATCTCCATTTCACAGGTGAGTAAATTGAGGTGTGGAGAGTTAAAGTAACCTGGCAAGGATCAGAAGGCATGGGAGTGGCAAATCTGGGATAGTCTCCACTTCTGGAGTTGACTTTCTTGTAAACCGTAGTTTCAAGCAGTTTCTAGTATTTAGAGCCACACTCCTTACTCTTTTTCCTTACCTGCAAGATAAAAATAGAGGGGTCATTCAGAAAAAAAGAATTTGTTTGCCTTTTTAGGAAAGTAATTAAGGGGGGAAATACTTTTCTTGTAGGAACTGTGTGTGAGGACAGTACTTAGCACCGTAGCCCTGAGATCTAGCATGGCTGACTGCTTCTATGAGTACTACTCGTGAGACTTGGCTATGATAAGTTAAACAGTGATAATCTCTGCCTTCATTAACCACTTCAGTAAAGATGATCAAAACTCTACCTTTTAATGACCACATTGCAAGATTTTCTAGCCCCCGCCTTTTCTCCCAATTCGGTTGATCAGTAATGATTCACCTTACTTCCTATTCTTAATGCCTACCAGCCTGCAGTGGAATATAGGCTGTTACTGCTCTTCGTGCATGCTTGATTTAGCAAGCATGATGCAGTTCGGAAGCATCTACCATTTATTTGCCTTGGGCACTGTGATGAATCATATTCCCATGAAATGAAGTGACCTTTGTGGCACACAGACCCAGTGCCTCACTCTCCTTGACTCTGCAATATTAAAAGCAGAGTAGTGTTTCATGGTGTAATTTTTTGGCTTGTATACAGCTTTACTGAAGGAAGGAAACAGAAATGTTGTGGGCACCAAAGTGGTAATAATTCAAAACCCACGTACCTATTGTTCTTTGAATTTCTTTCTTTCATCGGTTGCTGTTAATTTAACAGAACTCTTTTACAACCAAAAACCGCTGAAGAATGAAACAAGCTGGGTTTGATTTTATGCTCTCATCTTTACTAGCTTCTATGGCTTTGCACAACTTATTTAACCTCTCTGGGCCTCAGTTTCCTTATTATGAGGATTAGCGATAACGTCTGGTAAGCACCTAGTACAGAGCCTGGCACAGAGCAGATGTTCCATACAGAGAAGCTGCTCTTATTATTATAAAATGCAAAGATGATCTCATGATGTAAAAGCTTGAGATTTGTTTTGTTATGGTAGTAAATAGTGTTTCCCTGTGGACTTCTTTGTGCTGCTCATGTGAAATCCAAGGAAAACAGTAGAATAGTGTTTGCAATAAGGAAAGATAGCTCTTTGTTCCCCTCAACAGACAAAAGAAGCTCATTATCGTATCAAGTAGTGACTGTTGCTATTGAAATGGTTTATTTGTATGTTTTTTCTGTTTTTTTTTTTCTAGGGATTTATTTGTGGCTTTTCAGTAGCAACAGGTGCAGCAGCGAGACTAGTGTCAGGATACGACAGCTATGGAAATATCTGTGGGCAGAAAAATGCAAAGTTGGAAGCAATACCAAACAGTGGCATGGACCACACCCACCGGAAGTGAGTAGACTGTTGGCTGAATGAACTCCATGGAAACTTTGAACGGGGGTAGAAAGTCCTGCTCTTTTATATTTTCTAATAATCTTCAGTAATATATTATTTTCATATGACTCCTGTTGGTGTTTTTAGTTTTTTAACTGTCCACTTGAATCATTCCTGGTTTTGGTCTCTAAATACATTTTCCAGGAAATAAAATGAGCTGCCAGGTTAAAATGGGTGACCTTCAGGGTTTAACGAGTAAAGGCTTGATTTGAGAGGGTTATTCCTTTACTCTGTTTTCCCATTAGCCTATAGGTTGTACACAAAGTTTTAACTCAGGAAATAACATAATATTTTTTCTTCCTAAGATTGTACTTGATGGGAGAGAGAGGGATGGTAATGGATTTTGAAACATTAAAGGTATAATGAAACATTTTGTGATGCATCATTTATAAGTACAGTACGCATAAATTTCCAATTTTATAAAAGATACATTTTCTTTGTCAGACTTTAAAATTTGTTTTGAGTTCTCAAGCTTCATCTTTTGAATGTCTTGAAATTCCTTAATTGTCTTTTTTCTTCGGAGGAGCTATGACTTCATTTTTAATGTCTGTGAGGGAAATGTATTTCATGAAACATATTTTAGGTATGATGTCAGTATATTTGTCCACACTGTATATTTATGCCCTACTTGATTAGATAGGTCTAATAAATAAAGACAGATCTTCAGAATTAACCAAACTAATTTTAAAGTAATGGGTTATCCAATTCAATTAATGAACTTTATAGGAAAAGGCTAAGCAGTAGAAACATTTTTTTAGGCTATAGTTGTCTTAAGAAACATTTTCCAGGATGTGATAACTATTTTTATTATTAGATAAATCTGTTTGTTAAGTCATGGCCACTACCGGCAAATATAAGATTAATTTGATAATTTCACAAACCTGAAGAGACCCAAATAGTTAGTAATATCTCAAAGATAGTTCCCCATTGAATGAAGGAATAATGCTATTCAAATAAATGGAATTTTAAATAATAATAATAAATATTTGTCTAGCATGCCATAGTTGGCAAGCATATGATACCATGCTGTGAGGTAGGTGTAGCAGAGGCTTAGAGAGATTGAAATGATTTTCTCAAAAGTCTGGTTGGTCAGTGGAATATCAAAC